TAATAGCTACAGCTTCAACGGCAACCCACGTAGCGAATACAGCTGCCGTTGCAAAAACCACTTCATCGGTGGCAACATCAAATTCAGCATCGGGGCGGTACACACAAAATGTGGCAAATACAACTTTAGCGTCAAGAAAAGTGGGTAACATTTCTGCTGGAAATACACGTCCACTGGAAGCGGATGGAGTAAGTGCTTCGAGCTCAACCACTGTTCACGGCACACCTGCAGCTGGTTCCCAGAAGGTGTCAAGTGCAGCTGCAATCATCAAGAGAGCAATAGGTACAACCTGTGCAACTCCAAGCTCAGCCAAAGAGGAATCCAGCAAACCATTGATTACAGTGGGACGCAATGGTCAGAAGACGGTGACCACCAAACTCTCAATCCCTGCTGAGACTGTTCAGGGTAAAGACAGTCCAGTCTCGGCAGATGGTACTAAGCATTTGGTGTGTAAGTCAACTTCTATAAACTCTGATAAGTTGCCCCTAGCTGCAACACAGCACGAGTCAGGAATAAAACTATCTGCACATGCCTCAGCAAAGCAGACTAATGTTACTAACAATCAAGTCAAACTGCCGGTCCCACAACAGACGTTAACTCTACGCATGCCGCAATCCGGACTTGGGAACACAAACGTCTCAAGGCCTCAGTTCATCATCGGTCCAAGTCGTCCCGTCAACTCCAGTTCAACTTCGGTAAAGTCGGAGCCAGCTCCACACAATGTCCCAGGTAAAGTAGGGTATACCTTAATTGCCGTTACCTTTACTTATTACCATCTGTTTCTGTGTTTCAGAATACCCCCAATTATTGAATTCTGTGCACATAAGTGTGGACGTTACTGAATAAATGATAAATGATTAAATGATTTTTTAATACAAAATTGTTTCAACAAATTTTCTTTGGGATAATAACACAATGGCAATTATATCTAACTAGGTACAGATTCTGAGTACCGTACCCCAGGGGCCAATAACTTGAACAAACACGGCCACGTCAAACGCCCAATGAACGCCTTCATGGTCTGGGCGCGGAAATACCGGCCGTTCCTGTCTGCCAGACACCCACACGCCAGTAACGCGGAGATCAGCGTCCGTCTCGGGGAGATATGGAATGAGATGGACAATGACCAGAAGAAACCTTACTATGACGAGTCGGAGCAAATCAAGAAGAAACACAAAAACGATTATCCTGGTAGGTGAGGGGGGGACGAAGTGGGTTTTACTGTGTCGCTCTATCGCATAAATTTTTGTAAGGCACAGAGGCGAATTGCTGTTGCGAAATACTCTAGTTAACTGAATTTTTCCTTAAATTAATAATGATTAATTTTGTGGCTTCCATTCTAATATCCTCTTTACCGTTCTTTAAAACGCTGTACATCTGAACGCGCTTACTGTATAATTTCTCATACAGTATACGATATACATGTGGAGTATACAGTACATAAACATCATAACATATAGACGCGTTGGATAATATATGAATTCATACACGTGTGCCTTTAAATATTCTTTATTCTTTAAAAGACACTTTTAATATTATCAAGGATTTTTTTTTTACATTTTATATTTACAAATGATCGATTGTGCAGATTAGAGCTTTAATGCTCAGGAATGTCTAATCTCTCTCCAGACTGGATCTACCGTCCCGTGCCGAGCAAGAGGCCGACATTTCTCCCCAGTATGTACCCCAGTGGAGGCTGGGTACAATCTCTGGGGCACAGCGGCACCAGGTACGGCGTCTCCACACCGTTACCTATTCGACCGAGACTTGACAAAACCGGTATATATACTTTTTCTTTTTCTTACTTTTTCGTCAAATATTGATTGTAGCAGTTGAATTTAGTGGATGCAAAACATTAATTTACAAATGAATAAAAAGTTAAGTAGATACATTAACAAAAATAAAAATAATAAAAAAATGATAAGATATTCATGTATATTTACATCCTTTAAGTTTTCTGTCGAGTCAAGGTTAAGCACTACTAAGCAGACACCAATATGGCGTCATGACGTTATTTTTCGACGAGAAAATGCCGCCATTTTTCTAGTTTGTACAGTCAGTTTGGAAATAGACCGTGCGGACATTATACATGTATATATCCTCATTTGCCTGGTGCCTGTAACACGACAATTTTTTTCTCTTTCAAGCGCCAACAGTTCCACTACAGTACACTTTTCTGTCGCCCATCAAGCAGGAGCCAAGGTGTGGCGTCCGCCTGACCCCGGGGGTCCCCCAAGCTAACGGTGACACACGGGGCGTGGCTACCGTGACCGTGCTACCAGGGACCATCCCGACCTTCAAAGGAAGGCCGCCGTCTATTTCTATACGTTCAGCGGGCACTACAGGTAATACTGGCAACACCACCATCATGTCTGTATTGGTACATGGTACTGGTGGCGAGACTTGTTCATGGATTTCCTCAGGTCATGTGCTATTTCTGATCCTTGTGTCCTGCAGAAGTGATCTGATTTAGTTTTGAGGGTTTCTGCCTCTACTGGGTATTTGAGTGACTATGGAATAGTTGCCGTGTAACAACTTGTAGACATAGTGATGCTTTATTCTACGGTGCCAAGCCTATTACTATCAGAATTACTATGAAGTACTATTTTGCCGCCAAGGTATCGTCGAGATAATATTAATTTAAAACGTCCACACCAACTGAGCTCAAAATTTTCCTTCTTATTTATATAACTAGACACAATTAAATAAATATATCACACCTTATTAATATTTTTCCCATCATGTACTAAGGTAACTCAATATCCAGTGGCGGCCTTATTATAACACAAGCTCACGGGACTACTACAAGCGGGCTGTCATACCAGACACCATCAAACTCACCAGGCACAGCAGCGCCCTCTACCGTCCCACAGGTGGCAGCAGCCAGCGCGGCAGCAGACGGTATAGGTGATCACAACTACAGGGCCATCACGGGCGGTTCACGTGCAGAAAGGCAAGTAGGGTCTTACGAGGAGGGGGGCACAAAAACTTCTGACTCATATGTTCTGCTATGCGATATGACGGTTAACTTTCAAAGAAATGTGTTATTCTAGCCGATACCTTTCTGCATACCTGCACTCCATATTAATGCACTAAAGAAGATAAAACTTTGTGGACATTTTACCTTGCTTTTAAAATATCTTATTTCTTCATTCTTCAGTCGTGTTCTTGTATTTTTCTCTGTATTAACACACATAACTCTTTCTAGGGATGAGCTGTGGCCGTTTCCGTTCCCGGAATACAGCGACCAGTACCCGGCGTCCGCCTCCTCCTCCAGCTCTGACTTCGGAGATCCTTTCTCTCTGCAACACTTTGGTGAGAGGCTGTTGTGGACAGGACAGCTTTTTTTTATAAATAAAACACAAAATAAAATTTATTGTGTGCATGAAAGAATTGTTTTTTTCAATCGAAATTTCAGAAGTTTGTTTTAAAAGTTTGGAATGCCCGTTTATGTAAAAGGTACTGTCACCTGTTTCAGAACAAATCCCTGACGTGGGGGCGGTGGAGGTAGTGTCGTCCACTGACTGCTGTGAGAATACATACCTCGTGGGTTACCATAGCGACGATGACGAAATGGTCATCATGGAGACGGGAAGAACGGCAAGGTATTACTAATTTCTAATGATGGCACTCAAAACTGGACATTATATTTTTCCGTATAGTTAATATGAAACTTTTAGTTTTATAACATTTTCTGCGGCTGCTTTTATTAAATGTCCTTATTAATTCCTAAGGTTGCACTAAAGTCCCCAGTCTGTACAGCAGATGCAGAATAATTTGCCGTTACTTGTCTTCCGAACTGCAAAAACTCCCTCTGGTTTGTGAATGAAATTCCAATATTCATGAATTAAATTCTATTGATTCTCATATGATGTTCAATTAAATAAATAGCATGCAAGAAGTGATGCCCTCGGTGAAGATAAGCCCATCACCTGCAAGGAATCTTAATAAAAATAAGGGAAAAAGTAAAGAAGAATGCATAGAAGCGAAAGAGAATAGCAGTTTGACAGATTTAAGCCGAATCACGCAACATCCGCCTGCGTTCTACGCCATTCTGCAGAACCCATCATCTGGCCTTCCACAGAGCCAGGAAATGACGTTATCGGAAGACGAGGAGGGGGGCACAAAAACTTCTGATTTTTCCCCAAACAATGGCGACAAGAGAAGTTACAATACTTCTTTCAAAGGAAAGCGACAAACACTGTCAGAAATTGGCTCAGGAAGAAGGGTAAACAAACAGTCGAGGTCAAATAGAGAGCAAAATGTTTCCAAAAGACTGACAATGGAAGATACGGAAAACAGGGTGCGGAAAGTCGCAGGGAGAGGGGGAAGTCCTAATTGCAATCCTAGGGTGACAAGAAGTAGAAAGTCGCCAGGAATGGTGGAAGACAAAGAGGAGAAACCTGACATGAACGAATTGTTGGCTAGAGTCAAAAGAGCCGCCGAAGATGTCGAAATGCAAACAAGAAGTAAAAGAAAGAAAAAATAAAGAATATTTTCGCATTTTCATTGACATTCTACAGTAAAGCACAGTTTACAGTAAATAGTATCAATTTTAGAAAAAAGGGTCCATTTTGTAAATGATTAAATCATGAATATAATTTTTAAAATGAAGATATACAGTTTTTAATCGAATGTTTTTTTTTGTAATAGCTTTCAAATTTTGATGTAGAAAGAGGAAATACGAAAATAATTTCAGAATTGTTGAAAATCTCCATAACGAGCACGTGCCACTTTTCAACATCACCTGCTATGGATAATATAGGGAGGTTTAGGAAGCAAACAACAAATTATTACATTTTTATGAATATTATTACTCTTTTTATCTAAACAATAAATATATCTGAACCATGTGCATGATTTGTTATTTATTTGCACGACAGTACACCACTGGCAATAGATTTTGCTTATTGTCTTGCAGGTCTGTACTCGTGATAGATCCTTTCCCACCATAGATCCTCAACAGCATGTCCAGAGTGAAGCAAACATCGTTGTTTTTATTTCTACTTCTTCCAGCTGAAGCATATTTATTTGCCTTTTTTTACAAAATAATAAACACACCACGAAAACAATACAGAAATGAAATGTAAAGACCAAAATGTACATCTTTTCAAATCCTTATGAGAGCTAACACCTTTTTCTGTCAGTCTAATCTCAGCTTCGCCGCACTGGGTTTGGATGGTGTTCAACTTGGCGGGCCCCACTTGAATATCCAGAGAACAAGTCTTCGTAACATGGAAGGCATCTGGGTGGTGGTTGTAGTCGGCGTGGTTGTAGTGGTTGTGGTTGTAGTGGTAGTAGTGGTCGGGGGCAGGGTCGTGGTTGTCGTAGTGGTTGTAGTGGTTGTAGTAGTTGGCTTGGTTGTTGTCAATGCTAACTTGGCAACTAAATTAACAAAAAAGGTAGAATTAAAATCAAATAAAGAGTAGGATACAGTTGATAACGTTTACAGCGAATATTCTGGCAGTATTGCTTATTATTTAAGTTATTATTAATTATATGGAGTTCTAAGATATAGTTTCATATTCTTTTTATCTTCCTCGCTATATAGTGACACAGCTAAGATCTTTAACTCTTAAAATAACAAAATTGTAGATTAATTCTAAAAAACAGCATATTTGTAGAAAATGGAACGAAAGCAAAATTAAAATAAGAAGCAAAAAAAATTGCAAACAACTCTACAATTGTCGAACTCTCGCGTGTAGGCCTACATACACATCTCAGTAACTTACGTTCTAAACTTCTCGTCCGGTCATGTCTGTTCGCCAACATGATCATAACGGTAGTAAATAACAGAATCAAAATGAAAGTTCTGACCACAGCCTCCCAGATCCGCATCTTGTCGGTATTCTTGCTTCAACAACCCTGAAAGTTAGCAAAATACGCTGTGTAATGTTCTACCACCAGTTTGAACAAAGCTTTCAGAATATGAATGGCTGCATGTGTCACATACCTGTAATTGCTAAAACAATCTAGGTCTCGTACATAACCTGAATAAAATATTCCTTTTGCACCTTTGTATTAGATGACATTAATCTATGAATTTTTTAATGTACCGCATGTTTATCTGGTTGACAATGATTTTCATAATGAACTTCTAAAAGATAGGATATGTGGAAAAACCGTACCGACCCGTCTCCTCTCTTGTCGTTCTACCTACTCTATATATTGCACGAGTACCACGTATATACCTTGTTAATAATAAAGGAATGACAGCTATACCTTATAATTTTATATTATGGTACATTTTAAATATTTCAACATCAGGCTGGTGGTTGGCAGCTGTTGCCATGGCAAAGCTTGTGAGGTTACCGCTTAACGACGCCATTAGACCTGTACCATACGAATGATGAACTGTTTAATAACGTCTAATGAACGCTGCTGTAATTATGCATTAAACGAAGTGTCTTGGCGGAGGATAGCTTTTAGGATTTGAATGTGATGCCATATTAAATTCAACCTAATCGCTCTGGGAGCTGTGCAATCTCATTCTGTTGTCGTGGTTCCGTGTTAAAGCCAGTTCACAATGAATTTATCTATCTAGCCACTGCGCACTAACTCCGCGGGGACTCTCCCTGAATGCCTCCTTGAGTAGAATACAGAAAAGCTGGTAATTATACAAAAACGTTGGAAACAAGAGGAGGCGTGTCGGTCTGTAAATCTGATTGCATTCAGCGAGCCTCCTTGTGAAGTCAGCGCACGGTAGTTAGGTCGATAAAATCATTGTGAACGGACCCTCAGTTTGAGTTTGTTTTGGGAGCAAGGTTTTACCTACCAATTTGTGGAGACATGGGGAGGTAGATTAAGATGTGAACGCGAAACGAAAGACTGAGTGCGTGAATGAAAACATTTTATGTCCGTTTTTACTGTAGATGTGCCTGACATTTTAACAGTGTTATTTTTGATTTTTTCAAACATTTTGCACTGTGTGCAAAAAGTACCGAAGGATCTGACAGACAACAGAATTTTAAAGCAAATTAAACACTTAACTAAAAGAAACACATGAAAACAGATAGCTGGTCCATAGCTGTGCTTTAATTTAGAGATTTGATATAAAACAAATTTTAAAAAATATTTTTTCGTGTACAATTTTTTTATACTGGATCACAATTACATTCCATATAGTCTTCCTAGATACTTTCTTGTCACTTGATCATAACCATGGGTAAGAAAGAATCAAATGACAAAAATTAACTGGACATAATGGATTATTAATATTAAGTTCTAATGAGGGCTATACATTAATGATGAAGAGACATTGTCAGACTTGCACATTTCAGGCAATAATAGTTTTATATACAGGTTATACGTATATACGGGCAATGGTTCGCTACCACGTACGTTGTACGGACAGTGTCTTGTACTAGTAGTAGGTGTGTTAGCAAGTCATGTATGTATGCGTAGGGAAGGCCACTACTGGCGTAACACTGACTCATAACACTAGTCTCTCCAAACACAGTGCTTTGTTCAGCTTTGTTTGATGTTTGTTTACGATGTTCAGATTCTTAGATGACAAATGTCTGACAAATGAGGAACACACGTAACTGCAGTTCTTCAAACAGGTCTTCACTTTCTCCGTATATAGAGTATGACTAAAAAAAGGGGATGTTGCTTCAAAGTGAAAAGGGATAGTTGCCATTTAAAATAAAAATAGCTTTCATCCAAGAAAGTCATCCTCATTCACCGAAGCATTGCTTAAAACAGACACATTTATTTCATCTTATAATATAAACTGCTATATACTTATTTTGTGTCGCAGTATGACAGGTTTTGATCATTATTCACGTTGTTAAATACCCTGCGTATATCAACAAAGGCCCTTACGGCGCAACGTACAGGGGACGTCACAACGCTAGGGCACGCGATTTATTTGGCGTTAAAATAAAATTAATTTAGAGGTATTGGCGAGTCACATTTTACATAATTTGCCACTGACTATTTGTATATAAGTCCTGATAGACCAGACAGATCTTGGAGGAGAACATTTCTTACTGAAACGGTTTTTGATACGTATTTCTTTAGTTTCACTCATCAACGACATTTTCGAAATTAAAACACACCTGTAATTGCACTTTAAATAATTGAATATTTTCACGGATCTGAAATTCGTCACTTTGTTGATTAGGACTTATATACAAATAGTCAGTGGCAAATTATGTAAGGGATGTAAGTAAGTATGTAAGTATGACTGGGATTAAGTAGACGATTGGATCGAGATGATGGTGCAAAAAGCAATGTTATAATTAAAAGAATTGTCAAGGTGTTCTGTACAGTGATCTAGAACTTACCGACCATTCGTCTGCCCTATTTATTTATATTCCGCATTCCTCACAATTTGTTGGGCAGGGGTGACATTTTCTTCCCTAAAATGGTTAAAATTTTCCTTCAGATAAAGGCTGAGGTTATGTAAATGGAATCAACGAAGATTTATGACGATCACTGGAAGAACAATTCATGAAATTTTTCTCTCATGAATTTAAAGAGTTAATGAGAAAACTTAATGCCATTTAGTTCAAGTTGCATTTTTATTGTAAAACCCAATGTACATATGCATTTTACGAGTTCAAATTCAAGATATTTTATTTAGTCTTACCCATAGAAAGAGAAATATAACATAGAAACAGTGAAACATGGCACTTCTATGTAGAACTATGAGAGACTGAATATCAATTAACGTTAAAGCATTACTTATATATAAAATCTCTTCTTAATTCTAAAATTCGGCAGCTGGTCTTGGCAACTTAATTAATCATTTTTCATCACTAAACAAAGAATAAAGACTTGTTTTGGTATATTTTAAGATCAAAATTGCTGCTAAAACATGTAGCAATATAAAAAATTTCGGCACGTTAATTTATAAAAAAAAGGACAGTTAACTAAAAAGTGGACCTCAGATTCACATGATGGACAGGATCTTTCCATAATAGCTAATTTTTCATATGCACTCGTTTCTATTCGAAGGGGGGCCACCCCACACGACACCTTAGCAAGTGCCCTTGAAACACCGGCTTATTGCTATCGTAATTCCTCATTTTTTACAATCATAATCGTGTGTGTGTGTCGCTTTGAAATGCTTTCGTCTGATTACCGACTTTTTTCTTTGGGGATTTCATTATGTCATTTCTTTTCACGCCCTTTGGCAGTCTTTTTCTTGAGTATTTATATTCTGTAAAATCCTCTTTCTGTCAAAATGCCTTATTCCGTGTGGCCTCAATAAAACAATCCCCAGGTGAGGTGGACTCAAGTTACCATGGTTTAGATACAAACCAGATATTGTTTAGAAAGATATTTACTTTTTGCGGGAGAAAGTCGCTTATAGTAAGTGGATAATTGACTTAAGCTTGCGGATTAAGGTGTGTAAGGTTGCGCGTCGTTTCGCCCATATCAACGAGCCACGGTTACTGGGCCTTAAATGGAAATCGAGTTAAGAGCCACAGGACACAGATTCAAAACAATGGTCTAATTTTTCGCGTTTTTGAACTGATATTCTTTCTTTAAATGTCTTATAACTGGATAAGACTGGCAACTTTGCATCCTAAAAGTAGAAGAGCGAAAAACTTGGTCTTAATTTGAATGCAGTGATGCTCGTTTGCGAAATGTACACAGAGCGCAATATGATATCCCCGTGTAACGCCCAGCGTTTGCTCTCACGGCGAGGATGACCACTTCACGCCGCTATTAACAAACTATCCGCGGTACTCAGTGTCATTTTGAGCTGCGTTTCCCTCAAGGGGCCATGTTCTCAGCCATGTTCGCCAGTGCTACGAGGCGCCAACAACGCCGAGTTCACTTAAGCGAACTCACACTTGGAACAAAGGAAATGATGTATAAAGAACAGAGAAAATTAGATGAAAAATTGGAGAAAATTGAAGCACAGAGGTCTCGAGCCAAGCGCCACCTTGAAGCTAAAGAGAGGGTTTTGAAACATGAACTTGATTTGCAAGTAACAGCACAGAAAAGAATGACCACGTTTATTGGGGCACATACGGGAAGATTTAGAGAAGATGATTTAATTTCTGATCTAGACTGGGAGACCCTTATAAGTCTTCCAGACGCTCAAGGTTTGTCAAAAGAAGAACTGTCCAGAATTTTTATGGAAATTACAGGTAAGCCACCAGAAATCCGCCGAAGAAAACGCGATATTCAAAGTCCGTGGCAGCCAGATTTTCTTCATCAAAGATCTAAAACGTTTCACGGAACTACAGAAGTTTCCGGATCGTCACAGACGCGTCCCTCTACCACCGCCCAATACGTGGATGGCTTGATTTTACAGAGAAACCTGACTTTTATCCCGACAAATGAAGAATGTAAGGAAACATGTCGCGTCGCTTGGGGAGGTCTACCTAAGATCAAAGGTATAAACCCACTGTTCATCAGTGCGGTGAAAGAAACCGTGGAACCCTCAGAAAAGGAGGTAAAACCCAAAGTCCGCGTCCCAAAAGCCCTGAAAATACGACTGCGGGCATTGCAAAAATACAAAAAGTTGAGTTTTAAACGACAATCGAAACTATCTCTAGTGGGGGAAGATCGAAAAGACGCCGATACACCAGTTGTGGTGGAAGAAAGTTCTCATGAAATATCTGAAATTCTACCCGACCAAGTAGACATTAGACGCGGGGATAAGCCGTGTACAGCAAACAGAGCAGACGACATCACTGACAGGACAAGTAATCACGAGGCACGAGCTTTCCATACAGAATCAATGAAAGTGTTATGGGGAGGTGCAAAGGATAGTGATAATCAAACAGAGGAAGATGCGTCAAATGTGAAAACGGATTCCTCTCATACGTCGGAAGTCAATGATTTCAAACAAACTAATGAGACTTCGGATAGAAATGAAGATTCACGTGAAAATGACAAAAAGATAGGTACTCAAGATACCCTTAACAAAGTCTTTAAAAAGGGAAGTAAACAAAATCTATGGAAAGAAATAACCATGAACGTTATGCTAAAGAAGAGGAAGGAAAATGAAAAGAAACTGAAAATGTCGGATTTAGTGCAGATGCTGGCAAAGGTGAGTAGGTTCCAATATTACATGGAATTTTAGATTTTTCCGTGGCTGATAGATTTAGAGTTTTGAATTTAAGATTTTTTAGAGCTGATTTATGTTCTCTGTGTGATTTATATAAAAAAATGTGGCTATACATAAATACTAGACTTATCAGGTAATTTTATTTCAATTCCCCATGAATCTAAGAGACAGTTTTGATTTATAAATGCCTCTCGCCGCATTGCCTTTGATGTGAAGCAAGAATTCGAACCTATATTGACAAATTGATTAAAAAGTTTTTCTTAATTCAACGGTGATTTAGTGGTTTCGACTATGGTTACCCCATCTCCATTAATAGGACAACTGAAATTATCCTTCAAATTCATCAAATTTCGCCAGTAGCCGTTTTTTTATATAATGAATACCTTGGTCTTCCAGGTAAAACTGGCTAAACTGACCGAACAGGGGAATGCCCATACACAGTACACTCGTGAGGGAGGACTGGACAAGGGCGCGTTCTTCCGCGCGCGCCAGAAGTACATTTCCTCCAACAGACACCTGCTGGCCCGCAGGAACTCTGGTCTCCAGTATGGTCCCCAGAATAGACGCCGGGTAAGCAGAGAGGAGGAGAGGGGCGCGCGCCAGGCGGGCTACGACACTTGGACTATGCAGAAGATGCACACGGTGATGCAGAACAGCCAGGCGTACAAGGAGGGGGTGACGCAGTCGCCAGAAACACAAACTTAATGCCCTCCACAACCTAGTGATGGGACGCGGTTATAATTATTCATATCCTATTTTGTTCCCCACTCTTGGCTTCTCATTTTATTGAGAGTAACTCTACATCTCAGGTGGATTCCACTATCGGACGGACGAAAAACCTTGTAGAGCAGGCGGTCAGCAGTGTTGGATTGCAGATTTTTGTTTTGGATGTGTACGACCACCGAGGTATTTTAAACTGCTCTAAGAGTTTTGGGAACTGATAATTCATACCGTTTACAAAAATGCTCCTTTTGAAAATTGCATAGGTATATTTCCATACATTTTCCAGTCACAAAGCAAAGTTCTCCACAATAAAAATTGACAAAGAAGCATTTGCGTCTTTTCCTAGGATCTGTTCCAATTGCCGTGCATACATAAAACCTTCATTTAGATGTATACCAACAAACTGAAACCTGGTTAAATTCAGCAGCTTTATTACAAGATTGCATTCTACAAAGTAAAAATGTAGAGGAGCAGAATAACATGTTAGATAACCTCATAAAGTAAACATCAAATCGTTCTGAAATCACAGATAAACATAGTCATTTTTCGCAGAAAAAACTGCAATACAAAAAGAAACACTAGTTGATTTCAAAATAGTGTCAACAAAACTTTGGTCCTGATATTTCTATAATTTCCACGTGGTCAGGTTAAAGATAACGGGAGGAGGTTTACACTGCTGAGGGCAGAACATCACTTTATTAATTCACTGCAAGTCAATGTGGACTAAAATAAATGGTACAAACTAGATCACACACAATACTATAACCAAGGTCAATCTCTTGGGTGTATTCTACTCTGAATAAAACAAGAGCACAGATCATCACATCTAATTAACATGGGAGGAATGGGAGAAAGGTGGCATCAATCTGAACAAATAATTTTTTTTCAAATGTCTTTTTTCTACTACGTCACACAGAAATGACACAGGTCAATACAATTTCCACAGATAACATTTAAGGTGTGACGGCAATTCAGGATAAAGGTGGTAATTCTCTCATCCCCATCTTAACATCAGATCTACCAGAATCTCGACAATAATGAACATTTGGACCCTAACAGAGCTAAAAACTTCCCACCTCATAGTTTCTCTGTAGTGTTTCTCTTGCATTTCTCTCTCTGTTTACCACAGTTAAAACAAAAATGGATGATAAATAGATTAAAACCTGTCATTAGTTGCTACAGGGTTATAAATTAGAATAAAAGAATAAGAGTACTCTGTAACAACCTGCTAGACGAGTAGACCATTTCTCACATAAACATGAATGTGAATGGGTCAGTCTTTCCAGCTGACCAGTGTTTCCAGCTGACCAGTGTCCAGTCTATCCCTGCAGTTTCTTCCACTCCAGATTGCCAGCCTTGTACTGGCTGATCACCTCCTGGACCACCGCCTTGGTGATTGTCTTCTCTGGAGAGGCAAAGACCCTCTGTTCTGGAAAATCTGTCAGTGCCAGGAGGGGCAGGCGCTCCTCTAGCTTACAGAAATTAATCAGGGAGTCATATAATTCATCCTGTTTGGCCTAGAATAAGAAACATATTTAAAAGAGATTTTTTAAAATTATTTATCAAATACGTGTACTGGTACAAGCCATTTTCATACATATTCTGTTATTAAAAAGACCCCCCCCCCAAAAAAAAAAATAATAATAATAATAATAAATAAATAAAAAGGAACTGAAATATTATTTCACTTAAAAGACAGCTCTCATTTTAATAGAAACTAACAACCGTCTCTAGCTGTTTTAATCCTTCTGAACATCATACATTTCAATAGCTGTTAAGTAGAATCAAATTTTTTTTCAAAAACTCACAGTATCCATCCACAGGAAAAAGACATCCTGGTCTTCCCCCTTATCATAGTATTCTTTGGCTGACTCTGACATCACTTCCTGTGCAAGAGCTGCGCCTTTGCCCTCTGAAGATAGTTTAAATGAATACAGGGACTTTATACTTAGTACACAGGTACTCATGCACAAAATAAACATTAGGGAACAACAAGGCTTATACAAGTTGAGATGGTAAACATAAATTAAAGATACCAAGTCCAGTATGATAATCCCATATAGACAAACAAAACAGCTTAAGCCAACAAATGTACAGACACAGCCAATGTCAGCCGAGATTTTAGAAAGGCTAGTAAAATAATGCAGCTTTATACAAAGTCTCTGACAGCTCTACCTCAATTCTGCTGTAAAGGGCAACTTTAATATAGATATGTTTGGTCTACAGAATATATATCGTTGCATTAACTAATTCTTATATTATGCTAGACCCCCCTAATAGGTGTACTTGGAACCCTAAGCTAACCAGTTGTCTCACCTGTCAAGAGGATCATACAAGGGGAGTCATTGAGAGGACCTACAGAGCTCTCAGTCATCTCTTCAATAGGCTTGGGCTTCCAAGGGAAATCCTGCAAAAGTCAGATCATATGTACCTAGTATTGTGTATATTTTGTATTTTCATCTGCTTAATAACTTTCTGTAAAGCAAACTTCAAAAGCAGAAAGCATAAAACAGTGTGCTGCATAGAATAATTTAATAAATGGAAAATAACCATAAACTGTGACTGTTTTAAATGAGAGCTATGATAATGTGAAGAAAAAATATGCTAAATCAGTGGATTTGAAAATATTTGAACTAGGTATCACTTCAATCCCATTGGGCAACTTCTGTACCAAGGTATCCAGAAAATTTTTGTTAAACCAACTGTTAAATTGCTAAGTACTTAAACACGATCCATTCGTTGTTGAGAACACCTTTTTTTCACGTTGTTAAGATAATCAAGGAAATAGGTTTAAGTAATCCCATACCATCACCCTTTGCCCTCAGGGTAATTAGTGCTGGTCAGATACAATAAGGTAGATAAGAGAAAGTAATCCTATATTTCATACCTTGCCCTCTGGGTCACTGGCAATGGCAGATCTTCCATTTTTGTTGATCACCTTGTTGTCTTCATCTAATATTATCAGAGACGGGATTCCTGTAACAGAAATACATGGCTACTAGCTGATAGGGTTAATGTTATTTTGCTGGGAACATTGTCAATTGTTTTATTCCTTGACCAAAATACTGTGGAAAGGACCTTAATATTTTGCAGTAAATATTTTAAACATGCTTATGGCTGACATTCACCCTGTCCGTAAAATATAAGACAAAGATGAGCAATAAACTACCTTCTATGCCAAAGGTCTTGTTTAGTTTTGTAGCTCTGACATCTTTGAATGGTATAGCTAGCCAGGGCATGGTAGCAAAGTACTCCTTGAACTTGTCTTCTTCTCTGTCAGAGCTGGCAAACACTATCTCAAAATTCTTGTTAGCTGCTTTTAACTTTTTGTAGGTCTCAATGAGTTTTGGGGTGAACCCCCTGCATGGCGGACACTGCAAGACAAGAACATGGACCACTAAAAGGAAAATCAAGGGACTTAGCTTCCAAGCTACTATTTCCAAGACATGAAATTAAAAAGGGCACAGGCAAAAAATACAAAGCAGTATTAAATTGTCCATTTAACCTTTGTTGAAATTTTGCTTAAAAGATTCTTGCAAAAAAAAAATTAAGAAAATTGGCCAATACTAAAAACCAACAGGTTTTCCTTAAATCCATTTCATCTAAAGCTATAGAAGATAACTAATACTTACCCAATGTGCTGAGAAGTAGATAGCCTTCACCTTCCCAGCCAAGGCAGTCTCAGCATCCACCTTCCCTCCATTCTCTGCCAGCAATTCCCCTTTCATAATCTCTTTGAAAGGTTTTGGGTTCCATGGAAACTCTTGTCCCTCTGGGTCATCTGTTACCACTGACCGCCCGTCACTGGTGATCACCTTCCCTGTGGCACCATTCAACAGGATCAGTGTAGGGATCCCGCTGACTTTGAACTCCTTGGAAAGTTTGCCCTGGAAATTAATGAAACATGCTTCAAATTCTAACAATATCAGAATTGTTTCACCCAAATGGATGAAAAGTTCATATATAGCATATGCTTTACCAGTTCTAAGTTATGGTGAGAAAATTTTCAAAGCATTTTCTGATGCTTAGATAAATCATTTTTAACAATTCCAGAAAAAATTACATGAAAGCTTTAATATTTATGAAGCAAAGAAATTCATTAATTTATGTCATGCACTGGTATAGGTTTCTGCAATCCAAGAATTTATGCCTGGACAAATATTGCCCTTATAGCAACACCACAGGTTCTCTTCAACCTGCTGACTCCAGTGCCAGAGCATACTGTCATCAAGGAGTTATAACTCCTTGCTGTCATCAACTTTATTTCAAATATGGAACATGACTTTATGTTAAACAAATGGTGACATCCTGACACCTGCCTGCATACCAGTATGTCATACTTGTATTAGCCCCCCCTCCCCCCATTTTCCTCATCTGATTACAGCTAGACAGTCCAGTCACATAACCCTGTATTAGCCTCTAACTGCACACTACCCACATCTCATTCTGGCCCATGAGTCATCAGATAAGGCACACACAGCTTACTAATTATAATCAAAATTAATATTCCTACTGATAAATCAATATAAAAGCATGTAAATGTATTGTCTGTGTCTATAGCATTATAGTGACCCGCATGTCACAATAGAGTGTTCAACAGATAATTAAGATACAGTTTTGTACTTAGTATTAGTATTATATAATAAGTAAGCTACAAGAACATCTGTGTTGCCACATGCAATCCATTATTAATCTATGCAACTGTTGTAATACATTTCTAGTGTACAAAATTACATAACACATTTGCTTACAATATGACCAAACACTGGTAACAATCAATCAGTCAATAAAGTGACCTACATACACGTATTGACCCATGACTCTGGTAGAATTATACTCTATTGATGTGCAATATGACCAGCCATACCTTTATCATATTTTTAAGTCTTTTATATTGGCAACTTTCTCAACATAACCTGCCTTATTTAATGGATAGATTTCAATCAGTGCAACATGCTTTCAAATTTGGAAAGCCATGTGATACATGTACATCATCTCCAACTTGACTTACCAGAAATCAAAACTTTAACACTTTTATTTTCACCTTGCTCTATCACTGACTCATAAACACGTTTCCATGACACAGCTGTAGAAGTGTACATACAGTACACATTACTAGTATACACTGTGAACACCTGCAAGGTTTCAGGCATCTATCTACTAGTTAATAATAATAATATGGCAAAAAGTAAACAAAGCAGTGCACACTAGCACTCTCAGCTGTCACCTTGATTAGTAAGTGGATCTAAAAACCATGTAAATTTTAACTATTTCACTACACTAGTCTACCATATGCTCCAATAACAATTATCGCCCAGAAAATTTCAGTGACACTCTGTCCAAAGCAGCACATAGATCTAGGCCTACTAGTACCAGGTTTTTTTTTTTTTTTTTTTTTTTTTTGTAGCCAAAAAAGAGTCGACAAGGGCGTTGAGGTATTTGGTGGGCTGAAGGTCAGACAGGCCATCCGACAGTTTGGCTGCTTTGTGTGAGTCGTAGTAGACAAAATGGTATCGACCGAAATGACCTTTAATAGATTTGGTAATATGCAGCATGTCTATTCATGACTTTTTTATCTTTCTACGAAGTATTCACAATGCTTTAATATTTTGAGAGCATAGATAAAGACATATTGTTAGTTTGAAATGCATTTCTGTGGTAAATTTGTGTTTCCAGCTGTGTACATGTACTGACAGCATTCCTTTACTTAGCAGTATTTTTTTTTCGCCCTCTCGCACTGATTTCGGGGTCCACAGAGGATGTCATCCATAAAAATAAAAAAGTATGGCCTTACTGACAGTATATGACATAATATTAGCCAGGGATCAGGTGACCATGTTATATCACCTTACTGGTTGAGTAAGTACATGTACTATAGTAAAACAAAGCTCAGTACACTCGGTGAAGTATTCATATTACATTTAGTTAAAACTTAAAGACAGGTGATGTAATAAACTAGTGTTGCCTGGGCCTTGTTCCAATCACAATTTTAATGCCCCCCCCCCCCCCCAACCAAAAGGGGCAGCATAACTAATAATTCTGAAAGACTGCGCATGCGCAAGAATGACTCAGTACAAAGAAGCCGGTTGCAACCTCTGTTGCCATAGTCCACAATTCTTGCAGATTCAGCAGAAATTGCACAATCAGTAGTCAAGGTTGACACTCTGGAGATCTTCTTGGTGAAATATTTATTTCTAGCATCCCTAATTAAAAATTCATGCTATGATTCTGCCTAAAATTGACGGTAGCAGATTGAATGACTTGGCTTTTTAATATCTTTTGTTATTTACCTTTAAATCTCGCTCTGCAAAAGGCAACGCCAGCCATGGCATCTCTTTAAAATAGTCATTGAAGCTGTTTTCATCCCTGTCCGAACTGACAAACACGATCTCAAAGTCTTTACCCTTGTCTGTCTTTTTAAATTTTTCGTAGAACGTAGCAAGGACAGGGGTGAATCCTCGACATGGCGGACACCAATGTGCAGAGAAATACAGCCCCACTACTTTCCCGTCGCCAGTAAAACTGCTCACGGAGACTTCTCCATCTTTACTCACTACCTTATCACCTAGAAGTTTCTGAACTGCACCTGCCATAATTAATGTTAGTCGAGATTTTCCACAGTATCAGTCAACAAATAAAGAAGCTAGGGATACCCTACTCGCTTTATAACAGAGGTGACCCAGATCTAAAATTATGTGGTGACGTCAACATGTCACGGCTTTAGCCATTGGTCAGCAGAATCTTGTGTTTGGCTGTCGGCAAGAAATCGCGTTTTCATTTGGAAACATTATCTCCCCTAGGTTCAACCGTATTAAACTATTTTATTTTAAATTCAAACACTCGCAGTCGGCAAGCACATCGTGATAAGAACAAGGTGATACATTTTCAAAAATATTATAAAGATTTTTTGGCTTATAATACTTACTCGATGTTTCATATCTAGTGTTTTTTACCTAGTATATTTTTTTTGTCAGTGAGGAAGAAATTGTGATTTTCAACGGGTGTATTATTGAGCAGAAATACACTGAAGTTGCACCAATAACAAAAGGATTGGCTCAACTCCTGAAAATTAACTGTCATACCATATATCAAATTAAACTAATTAAGACTACTTTTGTACAGTTTATTCTACAGTACACACTTCTTTCATATAAAGTAATGTAATAACACAAATTTCAAATACAAGACCCTGCTGCTCACATTTTTTGTTTTTGTTGACTTAAAAAAAATAACCAAAAAAATTATAACTATCTAAATAAAATGAAATTTAAAAAAAAACAAACAAAATATCCCCCCCCCCCAAAAAAAAAAAAGATAAATATATTTCAGACATACAGTAGTTTTTCAAATTTTACTTATAAAAATCTACAAGTTATTTACAAAATGAACAAGAGTGTATTAACAAAGATGTACAGTTTATACAAGATACAGCATTGGACATGTAAAACATGTGATACTAGTCCTTAACTGCAATTAAAGTATGTAAATCCACTGGAAGTCATGGTATGACAGGGGTAATGTAAGTGACTAGACTTTGATACTGGTCTGTCTCTGATCAAACTCCTGGCTTGAACGGTTGTGTTTTGAAGTGGAAAGAACCGTGTGAAAAGTGAGTCATGAGACAAGACCACCTGGCCTGCCCTGCACCCCATTCCTCTTTGCAGAGGTGACAGCACTAACACTAACAAGGCATCTGTGACAATTTTCTCACCTCAACCCAGACACCTCCTGACTGAATGGTGTTTACCTTCAAAAATTGAGGAAAAAAAAGCTTTCACTCTTTAAGATACTATATTGATTATCCTTGACAACACAGATGCCATCTAGCAATGTTCCAACTGTAACCATGGTAAAAAACGACGAACTGCTGACAGTAAAGAGTGCTTGCACTTCTCAATAATGAGGCCACTGTGTCCCAGTTTTCCCAATACATGACTATAATCTAGGGCAAACTGACAGAAACCCAGGAGACAAAAGTAATCAAAGAGACCAACAGTATTCCAATCCTGACTTCCGGAGTTTAAATAAATACTGATTTAACTGTGCTGTTTCTGGATGCCCCCATTGTACTCTGGTGACATCTGAGTTAACTGACATTACTGGTTTTTCTGTGGTATATAGCTGCCATCACTGCATATTTCTGATATGAAAAAGACCATGTCCACGCTGTAGTTGAGTGAACTTTCCTATGCTGTTCCATATGGTCCTTGTTTTACAGAGACTATGTAATCTTTGAGCTTCCTTCTGTGGATGGACCTGGGTGTTCTGGACTGTGCTTTTGCTGGAAAATAAAAATATTTTCATCAATAAGTTTGCCTCTTTTTTTCCTTTTTATTTCTAAGACATTTCTAAGAGTTTTCTAAGATACACAAATTATATAGTTACTGAATCAATTGATCAAAATCCAGTATGATATGGATTTATGGCATGATAACAAAGATTTTAATAAAATTTTAAAAAGGGAAAATAATATTCTACCATTGTCTAACTCAAATAATCATTATAACACCAACAGTTGGAAAACAAACATTTTCCCTAGTGTTCATTGATACAAAGAAGCAATTTAGTTATGTTGTTAACATTTATGACTACATTTCATTATCAGATAAATGAACTTACTTTCTTCTTCTTCTTTTCTTTTTTCTTTTTCCGTTTTTCTCTCTCTTCATCACTTCGTTTTTGCTTTTTATGTTTCGTCTTCTGTTCCACACTGGCTTCTGACGCATTATCTGAAAGGAAATAAAGAATTTAATGGCAAAAGCTGAAATAAGTGATTACATGTTAACATGTTGATATCCTTCCACTGCATGGGATACTAAAAAGCTACACAGACTTTCAAAACTTGGTAACTTTTCCAAAGCAGCCATTGACCTCTCTTTGATTTTTAAAACAAATAAAAAAATTATTTACGTAAATGCGAAGAGGATAGAAAGGAATTTTTTAAAAATAATAATAATAATGATAAATTCTTGTATACCTAGTAATAAATATTGCTGTAACTTACCTTGATTTTCTTGCAATGGCCCTTCTTTTGTTTCCTCTTTCCGTTTCTTTTTATGTTTGTGCTTTTTAGGAGGCATCTGATGCATGAGACGGTATTGCTCTGGTAGCTAAATTATAACAATGATAAATATTTACTTATAAATGAAAGAAAATTCCAAAAAAAGACTAATCTTGTAAAATTGGAAATGTATTTGTTTTCTTTTTACATAAAAACTGCCAATTAAAAGATGGGCAAAACCAAAATTCATAAAGGGTCATGATTTGAGTAATTAATTGAAAATGTTATTTTCATAACATGAGAGAGTCCGGGTTAGATTAGTTATGTATTTTTTTTTTCAACTCAGTTTTGTCAGTACACTTACTGGCCCAGGGTGTAGTCTAAAACCTGCTAATGCTGATCCAGATAAAGGAATCAATTCCTTGCCAGTTATAGGTGGCTTTTCTATCAAAGAGCGGAGAGAGCTGGAAAACCAACATAAATTAAGAAAATAAATTAGAATGAACCATCAAGAAAAATTCAATGTGCTAAGTCCTGTGTAAAAATAAGGTAGGGCAACAGGGGAAAAAAGTAACAGACAGCATCATTATTTTTTTTCAATGTATCACTTATGATCAAAGTGCTTGAGTTCAAATAAATACATTTTTGATAAAAATGACAATACTTAAAATAAAAGTGCCAAATTTTTGCAGTACCTGTTGTCTTGAATTCCAGGTGCATCGATATTTCCTGGAAGATTTGGCAAGAATGCATTAAGTTCTTCTTTGATCTTTTTGCCACAGAACTTGTTGTAGGAATGCTCCAACCCATGGTAAGATAGCAAGTTGGTGTTCCCTGTCAACTTGGCTTCATCTGAAATATGATATTGAGGTAAATCTACAGAAGGTATATTTTGGACAATGTCAGACCTTACTGAATTCATGTTTCAGAAACTTCTCCCAAATAATGTATGTATTAATAATCATAGATCACAGGTAAGGGGAATGGAACAGAAGTGTGAGGCTGTTAAAAGAGCTGACACTTTTTTTTAAGTGACTATATCTGTATACCTATCGCACTGTAACAGCGCTAGCTAGCACTTCAAATTATCACATGATTGCCTTTTCCATCTCAACTTCACTTGTATCTTTCAGACTTGCAAACAACCGGAGTGGTATTCAAACTTGTCAGAATTTCAATAAAATTAGTCTGTTGTCAATTATACACTGTTGCCTCTCTCTCTCTCTCTCTCTCTGTGTGTGTGTGTGTGCGTGTGTGTGCCCAAACAGTCTTACTATCTGACAAGGCCGTCCCTAAATAAAGAGAAAGAAGCTGAGAAGTAGCAAAACACTATCTTTCGTCGAGACTTAATATATTGTAACTGTGAGTACTGCAAAGTGCCGGCGCCTCACCTGGTGGCTCTTTCATAAGGTAAAAAGGGCCTTTCTGTATGATTGCCGGATTCTTTCCGAGTGCAATGGTTGTTTTGAGTGTTCCAGTCGAGTCTTGTCTTGGTATGGCAGGTGATCGAGAGCCCCTTGGACTAGACTTTGGAGAAGTCTGGTCGCTTCTTCTGTATAAATCCATGAGCTTCCTCAGACGTTGTGTTCTACGTCATCAAAACATGCGGAGTGAGAGCTAGTGCGTGGCCTCTTAAAAGTTTCGAATCATTTTAATTAAGTTATTATTTTAGTTATTTTGTCTTGGTACCCTTTTGAACATGATATATATTTTCAATTTAAATGATTATATAAATAACACAAGTGTATATATAGGGCTTTATTGCTCTAAATACAACAAAGACACTACCACATACAGAATGTGCAATGTGTTTGTTGTGCCTGCCTGTCTCCCCACCCCCACCCAGTCCAGTATCTGACAAAGAAAGAAGCTTAATTGGTTTTTGAAAAAATGGAGGGGTGGGAGCACATGGATGAAAACATTTTCTAGGTGATGGGGAGTGGATAAAAGGGAAACTTTCGAAGCTTAAGGAGGGACACTTGTCTGCAGTATTGAACCGGGTAAAACAAAAGAAGATATCACACCCAAACCCAATATATATATAGAGGTGCAAATGACGTCACAGACATGTTCCTAAAAATATGTAGTGCAAAGATTACAAACTATGTTTGATTATTTTAGGGTCCAACATAAAGAAGGTTTTATTAAAGTTTCACTTTCCTGGAACCACGAATAATAAAAAATAATTCCTCATCCAACCCCAAAAAGGAACATACGTTAAGTACTGTCACAAATGCAAAAGCTGTGGAAACGTTTTAATCACTTTGAAAATTCAATCATCACGGGTTGTAAATGCACCGGATGTGCGCAGAGTAGTAATGCGCACTTATTATATGAACAATGCTATGAACGATTGAACAGGTGGACACGTTATGAACTACTGTACATGTATATAAGAAGGGGCGTAAAAAGTAAGCTTTAATCCATCACTCAAGAGACGGACGGAAAGATATCATTATTATATATATATATATATATATATATATATATTTACTTTTCAGAAAATGGCGAAAACAAGAGCTGAGATTCAAAAAAATTATCGATCTCGTAAAAAGAAAAATGAGGGTGAGGCATATCTGGAAAGGGAAAGAAAAAGAGTTCAAAAATACTATATACCTTCCGCCTCCTTAAGCGACCGTGAAAGACGAAAGAGAAATGCGTAGACTAAAGCACGAAAATTTAGACTTCACCAAAGGAAACAAGAGCTTCTAGCTGCTATAGAAGTTACGGAGGCAAGTCCAAAGCAATCACTACCGGAGAGGCTTGTTGTATGTGTGAGGTGGCCACAACGTGGAGATAAAAGATTTAGTAGAAACTTAAGGCAGGCACAAAGAACAATTAAAGAACTACAGGCACAGGTAAATGCCATGAAAAAGAGGGAGAATTCTATCCGGCAACGATTTAGCCGTTGTCGAAGACGAAATATAGAATCACCTGAATTTCCCACAAGCCCCAAAACCAAGACAGAACGCACCATACGACAGGCTATGTTGAATAGGACCCAAGCTAACACTGTGAGGAAGCAATTACTTATAGGAAATGTTTTAGTAGCTGAAGTGGGTCAAGCTAAACGAGTAACACCAAGAAGTAAGATGAAAATTTTGCATAATATTGTGGCTGGGAAGATTGCGAAGAAGTATCGTTGTCTCAAACATCTTTCTGCTGCTACTGGCATGTGCCGGAATCGTTTGTCGAGGACTCGCGAAAAGGGGATGAACTGGTCGAAAGGTCGACGGATACGAGTAGCAGAAAAAAAAACAGGCAAGCTGTACAAATTTTTTTAAAAGAGACGACAATAGTAGAGCCCAACCTGGAAAAGCAAATCAGAAGATAGAGAGAAAATGCAAACTAGAGTGCTGACAGATTACATAGCTAACTTATACTACAAGTTTATGAGTGAGAATCCGAACATAAAGATATCATTGGAAACCTTTCGACGCCTTCGACCCAGACATGTACTGCATCACATATTGCCAGACACAGCTGTCTTTGCACAAAGCACCAGAATATGGCGCTGCTTCTAAAGGCTCTCAGACGGGAGGGTATAAATGTATCACTTAGTCCTGATGCGTTCATTAAAGGCTGTACAGACTAAAACAAGAGTGAGTGGCAAAAATTACCCGAAAAAGTTAAATACAGTCAGTGGAAACGAGTGGAAATCTAAGACAAAGACCGCAAAAAAAAAAAAAAAAAAAAAAGCCATGCGCTTATGTGAGAATAAAGTTCAGAAAGACGAGTTCTTGTCCTTCTTCAGTAACCAAAAGAAAGAATTCGGCGAGCACGTTGGCAGAGTAAAAACACAGTACGAGCAATTAAGAAATTTCAAGGAAACTCTTCCAAGAAACCATGTGACTATACAGATGGATTTTGCGGCAAACTATGTATGTAGGTCCGCCGACGATATCCAGTCCGCCTACTTGTACAAAACTAGCGTTACCCTCCACCCCGTTGTCATCCACTATCGTGATGAGGATGGGAAGCTGGCCCACCAGAGCCTTATCGCTGTCTCTGATGAAACAAGTCATTCGGCTTCTACCGTGTATGCAATACTGTCGAAAGTTATGCCACACGTGAAAAACCTTGTGCCCGAGCTGGAAACCATCCATTACTGGACGGACAGTCCGACCAGCCAGTACAGAAATAAATGCATATTTTACATCGTAGCAAAGTGAAAGTGAGAAAACTTAAGTTCTTGTCAGTTATCCGGGGCAGATTGTGTGACACCTGGGAAGAAACACATTTGCTTGTACCAGCACCCGTAGAAATTGAAACAAGATTGAGCAAAGAAAATGGCAATAACCCATCGCATCACTGGGCAGACGGTGACGGTAGGCGATTTTGTAGCAGTGGTCTATGAGAAAAAATGGTACATAGTACAAGATATCGACGAATTAGACAGAGAGGCAGAGATCAGCATTTTAGAGAAACGGAAAAGTCTCTTCCAATGGCCGAAGAGGGATGACACCATTTGGATACCTTTCGACAATATCTTGTGTCGTGTTGAGGAACCATCTGCGGCAGGAAAATCGCAACGAATGTTTAAAATCACACCAAGCGACCTGAACGCTATTCATGTAGCCTGTAATTTGCCTTAAATAGCGGCTGATAAGGGACATAGAAACCCTTGGACTCTAAAGTGAGATCCGTTTCTTACACTCATGACTCAATGGAAAGACTTAAAAACGCAATTTTATGAGTCACTTACTTTTTATAGGTAAAACAAACATTATATATATTTCCCCAAAAAAATGTCGAAATTCGCAAGAAAATGTAGACCTTTCAGAGAAGATGTTAGCAAAGCTCATTTTGAACGATTTCTCTGCTGTGTTGGAAAACTTATAGCTAGGTGTGTTGAAAATGGCTTCGTTTAAAGAGGTCCTAGGTTAGATGTTTCTAGGGTCTTTATTCCTTTACATACAAATGATTAAGACGTTTGATACGTGGATCCTGTTGTGTAATAGGTTATCACTTTTGATGTCTGAGTTACTTTTAAACATCTCAATAAATTTTACGAAAAAACTGAAAAAATATATTATTTATATTTATTAAACTCGTCTCCCTTATCTTTTCTATGGCTGTGGAACATACGTTACATTGTGGTTTGCGAAAGATGCGAGGCATAGTTGGTATTGTAACCAATACACTAAAAAAATTGAAAGTTTCAATGAAATTTAAATTCATGAAGAATATGACCAGTGGTAGATGGCTTTTAGGAAACAGTTTTCAACTCTCTATACAATTGACAACTACTGCTATTGAAATAGTCTTCTACCTGGACAGTGTAAAGAAAAATGATCTTTAGTTTGAAAGTTATTTTCCAAGATCTGGTCAAACCAAATGTATTTTCCTTTCACTTTTCCATTATTAATGACTTATAGGGTTCTGAAAGTGTTTAGGTTGCACAAATTTCCACAGCGCTCAACTTATGGTCGTAATTTGTATTAGGCGATTCAGCGGTAACGTATGTTATTTCTTACACTTTTTTTACTTGAAACGGCCGTCGCTTTATTTGCTTACAAAACAGAAACACGTGGGCGTAAAATTGGGACATTTGTGGATTTTTGCTCTATACACATATAAGTTTTAAAAAATTATATACTACTTCTAATTCATTCAATTTCTATTTTTGAGACTTGAACTCGTGAAATGCACCTCTATTTTGGGTTTGGGTGATCAGCGTTTTGTATTCTCCCTTACCTAGTTTGAAGTTTAAGTTCATTTTTTACTCGATAACCTGTGTGAATCAAAGCCGAGTTTGTCGCGAAGGTCACAGCAGGTGACAGTAAGACTAAAAACTCATTACGGTAACGAAATTAAATAAATATCTTCAGCCTGTCTTGTGCAGAGGGCAGCACAGTCAGCTTAGTATCAAGGGTTGTTTATACATGGCCGCCGTGTACGTGCGTTGAAGCTTCGTGCGATTCAACATTTATAGGACTTTTTCGGTGAAATTCCACTTAGAAATGACCCCTGAATATTCTACGCAGATAACATTTTTTTCTTAGAACTATTTTGACGCAGTTGCATTTTAAAGGTAAAGTTTATTGCTACTGAAAATGTGGATAATAACAGTTAAATTAATTTGTAACGTTACTCGTTACATCTAAAATTAGTAAAATTCAAACCATTTAAGAGCGCATTTATCATCTGTAAACGAATAGCATTAACATGACCGATTTTCTCTTTCAATTTGACTTATAGCTACGTATCTTGGAATACGTTGGCTCTATCTGGAATTTGAACACTTCTGACACGTAAGTGAACTTACTAAATTGTAGTAGTAGTGCTCGTAAATATAATTGCATACCACTATCTCTGCTCTGTCAACACGGTGTGAGAATTACGCTGACATGATATCCTCAATCTCATTGTCGGTAAATACAACCCCCCTCAACAAGCAGCAAAAGTAAATATGAACAAGATGATGTCCATGTTCCATAGTTAGATATAAATTTGTTGCCTATCTTTATCCTCAGCACAATGTATGAAGATAATAGTGAGGCCCCAGTCATGTATCACAGCTTTCATGGAGAGCCACCAGCTCCTCCGTATGAACGCCCTCCACATGTTCGAACATACTCGGAGCCAGTTACACTGTGCCAGCAGTTCACCACTGAAGACATAGGATTTCTCAGGGATCAGTTATTGGTAAGTGAATTTTACAGTGTATGAGCATATGACTACTATCTGCTAATGGTATATTGTAAACTATTAGTTTATACTGTATGTGCCTACGCTGTAATGTTAAAATGCAATACTTGGAAGATTTTACATTTTCAGTGGCAGATTGTAAAAAGAAAATCATAGAGTAGAAGTTTGAGAAGCTATCATACAAATCAGTTTTCTCATTTATTTTTAAAGTTAACTTTAAACATAAAAGTAGTTGAAACCTATGTTCTAACTTCTGAGTAAATAACAGTCCTGGCTATAGGTACATTGTACTAGTATCATTAAGATTCTAACAGTTGTTATACATGTACCATGTACATGCAGATATGGCAGTCATAGCATAGAATGACACCTGTTAAAGCTGTTTACATGTATATATATTTATAACTGGCAGTGGTCTTGGGTGTTGGAAAATATTGAAGTTAGTATCTGAGTTTTGTGTTTTATCATTGCTGTGCTTTGATTTATGACAAATTTGTTATTTATCTCTACATATTTATATGCATGTCAACTGAGCATGTTTACTTTGGATTCATTCATTCTTCACCATGTGGTTTCTTTGCCCTTTCCCCTTTAACCCTTGACCTGAGCACATTTGGATATTATAGAGTAAAGAAATGTTAAGACATTTAGTATGTGGTGTATGTAACAGAGGACATTGTATAATAAAGAATGTCTTCTGGTTTCAAACTTTGCAGGATTTATTTACACCTTGTTGCATGGATAAAAGCAGAATAAATAGTTCATTAAAACTAATCACCGAATGAAAGGATTAGTGTATATTTCTTATTCACAAAGCCATTCTGAGTTTACCAACAGGCATGCATTTCATTTCTTTGTGATTTTGTTACACTCAATGAGGCTGCTGTAGCAGAAAGCAAATTGTGTTCAAACATGGAACAAAAAGAAAACAACTGCATGATTCAATTTTATGCAGAAATAAAAGTAATGCAAACACAAGCTTTCTGGTAAATGTTATACGTGAATGGGATTAGATTTGTCAGACAGGTAATCCAATAAAACTGCTGTATTGCAATTACATAAAGGAGCCAATTTGCAATGAAGTTTGAATTTGCACACCTTGATATTAAAAAACTGTTGAGTGGCAGTTAAATGCAATCAGAGTGGAGTAACAAGACAACGGTTAACAGTGGTTATCTACCTGCCAGACAAGGTGAGATATAAATGTAATCAAATTGTAGATTGATAGCAGTGTTTTAAAGCTAACAAATCCAAGCCAGTGAGTAAGTGTAAAAGTTATTGGTTTCTCGTCGTGATCAGGGGCACCTGCATGTATTCACTGTGTATGGGGAGCTTAAGACTGTTATGGCAAACATCAAGTGTTTGTAGGGTCACAGAGTTATGTGTAGACAAATACTTTAAGATATAAGTAGGAAATAATGGGCTTTGAAAAAATTCAAATCACATTGGGTGTGTAAACTTTTGAAAGCAGTAAGTATAACGGCAGTTGTAGATTAAATCTCTAACGAAAGAGCCTTTGGATGACAGGTAAATTTCTTTTCAAACCCATATGCTAGACAGTTGATCATTCAGCTCCAGCTAATAACTGATTCGTATTCAGTCTATTGTTACCTGACTGAGTAGGTACAGTACATGTTGTACATTGAGGCCACCCCCAGTGGTTCTCCAGGTGAAGTTAACTTAATAATTACATCCAGGTATATCAAGTGTTCACCATTATACCTGTATACATATAATATTTTTATTTCTGTGACATTCATGCTGTAGTGTCAAAATGGCATCAAAACTACTTGTAAAAAAAAAATGAATTAATTTGCAAATTTGATGTAAAGAAATTTTGAAAATATACAGATGGATTGTGTCCATCTTTAATTTCCTAGTGTTGCCTTCATATGAGCCTTGGAGAAAGCAGTGTAAGAACCAGTAACTGATATCTGTATATCTCCATTGTGGCACATTTGTTGGTTTTTACTGCCCCTACATTGTCTGTGAAGTCCCTGTGCTATTGAATTAAGGATGTTTTGACAGGTATTCACCTCTATTTGCTTTCCCAACTAAGCCTAGACATAGAACAAATAGCAGAGGAAAGAATTGTTACATGTCTATTAGAATAATACAGCCTTTCAAATGTGTCCAGGTGTGATATGAGGGCCTCTCAGTCTAAATAGCTTGCTCATTACACACCAATGGTACAATATAGGAAAGGAAATCCAGCTTTATACATGTAGCTTATAAGTTTTCATGAATTTATGGATACCAAGATGTGTTGTTTGAGACATTTAAATAGGCACAGGTAAGAATACACCCTGCATTAATACATGTATTGTGGAGCAGTATTGTGACATATGTAACACTGTCAGTTTTAAGTCTAGTAGAAAATTGGAGTAGTACAGCATGTATGTTTAAACTTTTGGCTGATTGTAAATAATTTGGCTTGTTAAAGCAGATAAATATGGGTGTGTACTCTGACAGCTGTGGTTTCTAGTAGTTTTAGATAGTAACAGATCAGAAATGGAAATAATAAGACCACTTTGCAATTCTTACTAGATTAAAAATATCTATTTAATAATTACAATAACTAATATGATTTATGTTTTTAATATAATAATATTTTTCCACATTCTGTTATTGCAGAGAGAGCAAGAGCTGAGACAGGAGAAAGAGGAAGAACTGGACATGTTGCAGCAGTCACTAAGGGACAGGTACAGGTCCAGAACAGGTAGAGATAGCCAGGATACAGACAGTGGAATAAGGTAAATATCTCAGCTAGTTAACAGTTAGTTCACAGTCACTAAGGGACAGGTAAATATCTCAGTTAGGAATGATTTTAACTAGATTTGTGTCTTCAATATGCCACCCTTTTAGAGGACAAAGTTTCTGCTTGAACCTTTTAATGACAAATACTACAACCATGCAGTTATAAATAAATGAAAAATAGCCAAATGAATTATACTGTCTTTTGCCAAATAAAGGCTTCGTTCACATGGAATGTCTATTTTCTAAAAATCCATTTTCTATTCGCGGTATTTTATGATCACGGTCTATGCCCTGAATATCCCACTGCGTAATTACTGGCATTGCGAGCCAGTTACTTATAGTAACTTATGGTAACTGGCTCGCGCTGCCAGTAATTACGCCGCGGGATATTCAGGGCACAGACCGTGATCACAAGATATACCGCGAATAGAAAATAGATTTTTAGAAAATAGACTTTCCATGTGAACGAAGCCAAAGTCCCTTTAGAACTGGCAAAAGTTTGGTGTGCAGCTTCTGATGAGTGTAATTTCTGTTGAGACACTTACCTTTAATATGTTAAAATCAAATTGTTGCTTCATAAGAGTAAATTTACAATGTCCAATATGATGTTAAGAACATTTCTTCATCCACAAATACCTTACCGGTAATTACCGCAGTGGAACTCATGTGGTTCATGATATAAAATATGGGAGGCCCACTAACAATGACTGTTAGCTGATTGTTTAATTGCCACCTACAGGTATACTTAGATACAAATAGGGACCACTCTAGAATTGTGATTGCCTTTATATTTATAACTCCTTTGTATATTTTCAGCAATGGATTAAAACATAGATCTTCAGTATTAACCAGCTCAATGCTAAATGAGGACACAGGGTCAAGGTCATATACCAACTCAAGATCACTGCCAAGGTCATCTGTTCCAAGGTCATCTACAGGTCGTCACACTTCCTTCCATGATGCTCCCTTCTCCTCCACTCCACATCAACGCCCCCACATGTCTTCTTCGGCCCACGAGATCTACTCCCCGTTGCCACTGCACAGGGCTGAGCTGAGGTCACCATGGCGAGGGGTGCCAAGACCCGTGGCAGATAAATCAGTGCAGGAACTGAGGGAGGCGCTCCAGGACAGTGAACACAGGAGATCAGTTCTCATGGAGAAACTGAAGGAAGCACAGGAGACACTGAGGGTAACTAAGCCATATTAAATTAATTTCAAATATCTTATCAGTCTCTTAGAACTTTTGACTTTTCATTTGCAATTTAAAATATATTAAAAGGAGAACTTATGATTGGAGACACAAAACCAGTCGACCATGTACTGAATTTTTTTTCTTTTATTCTTTTATTGTTGTTTTTCAGATTCAGACTGAAAGGTTGTCTAAAGCTGAGAGTGCCATGAAAGAAAACAGTTTTGAAGTTGATGATCTGAAATATAAAGAGAAAGTAAGTACCGGGGGTATAACTTAATAATAGGTGCACTTCCCCTTGGATTTCTAGATAATTGATCATGCTTAATATGTTTATGTAGATGATATGGTAGGGCAAAACAATTCAACATAAACACGATACTGGTATCTGCAAAGGAGGCAACTATTTTTATTCTTCTTTTTAAAGAAATTAATACCATTTATAATCATATACCGGGGTATATATTTGTTCATGAATGAATGTAAAAACATTTTTCTTTACACTTCTACGTAGGATTATAAATATAAAATTGGTGAACTAGAAAAAGAAAAAGAAAAGCACAAGCACTTGAGAATGGAGACCTTCCAGCAGAGAGAGCAGATGAAAGAGAGGTGAGAGTTAGTGTGTCAGATATGTCTGTTTATATAGATCTCAGTCTTCTACATATATTTATATGTAACTTTAAAGCTTATACACCTGAGAATGGAGACCTTCCAACAGAGAGAGCAGATGAAGAAGAGGTGAGTGTCAGATATGTCTGGTTATATCTCAGTCTTCTACATGTATTCATTTGTAACTTTAAAACTTAGGCAGATGCAATAATTGTTACATTAAGTGGCAAAATTAACTGTTTGGCAAACATAAAACAAATTAATTTTTGACAAGGAACTTGTATAGCCTTACTAAGATATTTGTCTTACTAAGATAATATTAAAGAAAATAATGTGATTTGTCTTGCAGACTTGAGTCATTGGAAGTGGAACTGCAGTCTGTGAAAACGGAACACCAGTTGCTGCTGTCAGACCACCATCAGAGGAAGGAGGTGCTGGATAAAACTTCAGGTGCTCTGGTCATGTTGGAGGAGGAGAACTCACAACTGGCTAAGGTATGGAGCTTTTTTAGCATATCAGTTTTTTTTTTCTTTTTTGAAATCTTCATTTTTTTCATTGGCTAGCATCTTTATTTTCTGATTTATGTCTGTACATTTGACAGCTTTGCTGCCTTGTTAAAGCTTTCTTTGAATATTTTCTTTTGACTTAATTATTGTGTTAAATTTATTGGCAAGTTTGTCTTTGAATGTCCCATATTCCTCTTTAGGAAAATCTTTTTTCATTGTTTACCAAATTGATTGCAAGTTGTTGCTCTGCATATTGATTTAAGAAGGGTATAGCATAACAATACAACATTAGTGAACATATGTTTTAGTATATACAAATTTAGTCAGTTGGCAGATAGAAAAGCTGCTTTTGTTAAACATGTTAGAATAAAACAAATAGTTGTGTTTAAGGCCAAGGATACGATGATAAAAGAGATGTCTGCTCTGAAGGAATCTGCTGATATTGCAAGGAGCAGAAATGAAACATTGGAAAATGAAGTCCAGGACCAGCGACAGGAATTAGGGGCTTTGAAGGAGGTGAGATAGTGGCACCATCTATCTTTTAGTTATTTATTATGTCTCTGTGTAAAAGAGCAGTTATGAGTGCTTGTGTATATGAATATACTTCAAATGTGGTGGATGACCGCAGATGGTCTGGGAAACAAGTTGGTTAATTATTATGATGGTGGTGTTATCTATAGAAGGTATTTGTGAAGTTAAAGAGATAATAACTCTTCGTATGAGATCTATATTTCACAATAAAAACATTGTGAACAACTCATAGAAATATAATATATTCTGTTTTACCACAAAAACGGCAGTTATAGCTATTATTCTGATATCTGAGCTTGTCTTTAGACCACGTGTCCTCCATTGATGGCTATACTCTGTTATAATTTCTTAAGAGATTATAACAAAAAAGCAAACTTTTTAGAAAAAAAACAGGGACTAACTTTGAATGTAAAAATGGATTTATTAACCATTGGTAAGTATGGGAAAATTGTTGTTTAGACCAGGAAAATTCATTTTTTGGCCAAAATGAAGAGTTATTATCCCTTTAGGTGAGTAATGTAAATAGTTTCCAATATTTCTATGAATTAAATGGACTAATTTTTTATCTTGTCATTCAGGAAAATTATACCCTGAGAGCACAAGTGAAGAGTGTCTCTGAGCAGATCTCAGACGTGAAGATGTCTAATGAGCAGCTGAAGGAAGAGAACAGCAAGCTGGTGGAGAGTTTACAGAGTTTGAGTGAGGTGAGACCTGGAAACATTTCAGACCAATTACCTGTCTACATTACTAGTACATCTTGACTGAATACACTGCATACCTGTTACATCTGCACTAGAGAAAGATTAAAGAGTTTCTCTGATTACACTTCCAGACATGACTTTAAAAAGAAAAAATCATAAGCTGCTTTCAACACTTAGCTTCTTTGAAAGTCTTTTCAATAAACTTATTAGTTATTATTCTTCACCATTTCTCTGTCTGTCATTATGTGTGTATATTTTAGGAGAACCAGGGTCTTGTCCACCAACTGGACACCACTCAGGACATGCTAGCTGACCTCAAGTCCAAGCTGGCCAGTACTGCAGTAGACAAGGAGAGGTATTTCCAGGAGAAACTGGACCTTCACCAGAAACTCCAGCAACTGGCACATGACAAGGAGCACCTGTTCAAGGTCAGGAGTACACTCAGCAGGACTCCCTCAGATTAAACATAGAGTCTGTTAATTGTAGCAAAACAGGAATTTTTAGATAGTATACTGGAAGTGTTCGATACTTTTTTGGGGATGGGTGGGTGGCAGTGGGGAACTTTCATAGAACCAACCCTCAGTTTTATTAACTTTGATTCTAAGTAGAATGTCTTGCTAATTGTTTCCTGCTTTAAATTTCCTTTAAGAATTACAGTTAGTCAGTGATAACAATTGTATTCTTACTGTGTCATTTTATCTTTTGATGGCAGTGTGTGTACCTGTTGTTTCAGACCAAACTTGCAGCAGAAGAGCAGTTGAATGAGCTTCATGCAGAGATTGCCCAGGTGAAACTACAGGTAGACAGAAAGATGGAGGACAACAGAAGGCTAGAGGAGGAAATGGAGGCAGTAAGAAAGGTAAAGTGCTGGAAGAACAAGGATTAAGGATTATTATGTGTTTTGATTAAATATTGAGTATAACAGCACTGGGCTGACATGTTTGCATTGTTATGAAAAAATAACTGAAAATGTGTTATTCTTGACTGGATTGCTTGTATTGCTATTAATCCAATTGTTCAGGTGAGTAAGGATCTCTCAAGCCAGCTGTCTGCAACCAAAGCTGCATCAGAACAGGCTCAGGAACAAGTGGTTGCTATGGAAACAGCCAAGCAGTATGCTGTACAGCAGCAGCAGCTCCTACAGCATGAAAACACGGCACTGGAGAAGGAGGTGGAGGCTCTTAGACAGGTAGAGTATGGTGCTTGTTCTTTTATATGAACTGATAGTGAAGATGAATAATGGGATACAAAAGTCAGTGTGAAAAAAAGAAAAAGTTAATTGGATCTGTTACATTGAATTCATATTTGTGGTTATTTCTAGCCATTTTTCTACATGTGAATGGTTAAAGATATAATCCTGTTTACCATATTTACTGACAGCAAATAGAAGATATGAAGAAGGAAACACTGAAGGATAAAGAAGAGGTGGACAAATTTAACCAGAAATTGAGGGTAATTGGGTTGAAATTTTATTTTTTGTGTGTAAAAAATTATGGTCAAAAACCAGAATGCCATTTGAAGGTCATGTCCTTGGCTTGTCACCCTGGGATTATTTGTAAACTGACCCTTGACCAAAAGACAAGAAATAAGTTTATATTAAACAATTTTATGTCTACAAATTATAATAGTTTTTTTAAACATTAGTCATCATAACTGACTCTCTCATTTGCAGGATGATCTAAGAAAGGCCAAGTCTGAAAAAAATCAGATTGAAATTAAATGCAGTGAGCTTGAAGCTGTAAGTATTTTACTTTCAAACAGAACTTGAAGAAAAAATTGATAACTTAAAAACAATTCACTGTTCAAACAGGAAGGCTCGGTGGGGATGAAAGACCACCTTTTTGTCCAGAAAAGGTCAGCTTTAAATCAAAATTTGATCCAAGTTCTATGCTTTTTCTCAAGCTATGTCAACTAAAGTTGTTAGAAAAAATGTCCATATTTTAACTGAAGAACCATGCTTTGATATTTCTTACTACAAGTCTCAATGACAAATGATTTCAGAAACTTCAGAGGTTGAACTCTGAGTTGAAGGAGAGTTTGACATCCCAGCAGCAGGAGTTAGAGTCCTGGAGGACGACCTGTGAGAGACTGACAGCTTCCACCAGCAGGAAGGATGCGGAGCTCCAGATGTATGTGGATAAATTGCAGGCCATGGAGGAACAGGTAACATGGGTGATGACCATAGGGTCTGGTTAAAACTTAGGTAGGAGAGGAATATGGGACGTTTAAATGAAATTTGGTTGCCTGGAATTTGATTTCTAGTAGTAGTAGTAGTATATTTCCGTGAATGTGTGGCAACATAAACAAATAAAAGTAATTCACAGCCTAAAAGCACAAAAAATACACAGAGTTTATAACCCAGGTGCAGCTTATATATAACCTATACATGTAAGTACTGGGAATACGCTTTGTACATAAGGTCTACAACAAGCTCTAAAAAAGTCAGTCTTCAAAATTGTGACATTGCATCAGAGCATTGTCATGGTTTTGATAGCAAAACTTGCTGGTCATGATAATAGTAAAGCATTCTGACAATTTTATTAAATCTAAATGTTTTACTAATACCGCCCATCTTTCAGAGTTCCATGTTGAAAGTAGACCAGCACCAGCGTCATGCTCAGTATCAGGATCTGGTGGAAGCCAGGGAGGAGATACAGAGGTCAGTAACTGGTGGGGGTGGGGGTGGGGGAGATACAGAGGTCAGTAACTGGTGGGGGTGGGGGTGGGGGAGATACAGAGGTCAGTAGCTGGTGGGGTGGGGGTGGGGAAATACAGAGGTCAGTAACTGGTGGGGTGGGGTGGGGGTAGATACAGAGGTCAGTAACTGGT